AGGAGAAATCCCGCGATTACAGTCAAAAACCGACAGCAAACTTCGGCAATTTCGGGAAACCTGTCGCGATTCGTTTCTTCACTGGCTCCAACTCTATTATTGATGGCCCCAGATAGAACTTTGGGAAGAAACGATTATCGCCCGAGTTCTATGTGGAGCTATCAAAGATGGAGTTGGAGCCAGTGAAGAAACGAATCGCCACAGCATTTTCTCATATTTACCCTCGATGCCATATGATCAAGGTACTAATTAGCGACTTTCTCGTTGATGACTTTGTGAAAAGTAAAAAGTAAGATGTGCAATCGATAAAGCATGAAAAGTTCTATCTGGTGCCATCAATAATAGAGTTGGAGTCGGTGAAGAAACGAATCGCCATAGCATTTTCTCATATTTACCCTTGATGTCATGTGATCAAGGTAGTAATTAGCGATTTTCTCGTTGATGACTTTGTCAATAGTAAAAAGTAAGATGTGCAATCGATAGAGCATGAAAAGTTCTATCTGGAGCCATCGAAGATGGAGTTGAAGCCAGTGAAGAAACGAATCGCGACAGGTTTTCCCGAAATTGCCGAAGTTGGCTGTCGGTTTTTGACTGTAATCGCGGGATTTCTCCTTGATGGCATGACAAATTTTTAGAGCGACAACTGGAACAGAAAGTGCTGGTCCAGTGGTGCTTGGAGCCAACGGAAGCGGAGTTGGAACCAGTCTGTAGGCGAGTCCTTTCAGAAATTGCTCGAATCCTGATCTAAGATATCCTACGTATTGTTCTAGCTGTTGGCATACGAATTATTTTTAATCAAAAACGACAAGCTCTATCTTTTCATTTTTAGTGCATGCGCTATTATATATATTACAAATAGTTCTACAGCTGCCATTTGGATTCACACAGTACGATCACCCAAGAGAAACAGCTGACTTTTGAGCTTAAAAAATCGGTTAAATCGAAAATCGCCAAGAATCGGTGAAAATCTCAAAAAATCAGAAAAATCACTAACAATTTGTGTTATTTATTAACAGAAGAGAATTCAACGTTGTGTGCTGATCGTTTACCTCGTGTAATGCAAATAAGTAAGAAATAACATTAAGATTTCTTTTGCCGCTTTTTTTAAATTCCACTATGTGTGATTCCTAAAAACTTGATGAAAATCGGAAAAATCCCAAAATCAGCTGTTTTCCCCTTCGATTTTCCTCCTTTTTCATTTTTTTTAATAAAAAGAAAAGAAAACTGGCATTTAGACGTTGAAAAATCCCCAGATGGACTGAAACTTTACATCTTACAAATCAACTTCCTACTATAAGAAAATGCCGTCCCTTGGAAATGTTATGCGGTGGCTTACTTTCATGTCTTATGCTCCTGCTCTCTGCTTCCAATCTTAGATATTATGGAAGCTTTCCTGTTTTACATACAACAGAAAAGAATACGGTTTCACTCAGTGACCTTATAAAAAAAACCTTTTGTCACCTTACTTAACAGACGATGTTACGAAACTAAACAAAATCAGATGTCTTTTCTTTTTCTAAACTCAATATTGATGTTGTAAGAGGTTCATCAAATGAAGGATTATGATTTTCACATACAAATGTTTTCTACCAGCACCCACTTTTGGGCATCCAAACAGAATTTCCATAGAAATACGAAGGTGACATCAGATAGGAAATTCAATTTTCTACAAACGGAGCTAGAAAAATTTGTTTTAAAACCCCTGGAACAGTTTGAAAAGTTGAAAACAAGACGGCCGACTGACATCGCTTTCTCAGTTTTTGGAGACTTTTCGCATCAAGACTTCCTTCTAAAACAGAACTAAGGTGATATCTGGAATCAGCGTCAAAAACTGCACCAGACAATGTGCATTTGGAGTTGCCTTCAAAGGCATTTTGATTGTAGAATCTGAAAACCTTTTCGAGTCCGTTATACTGTAGCATGCAACGTTACTTGTTTGTTCATATAAAATCTATTTTGCTTGCTATTCAAGCATAACCAATTTCTCTTTTTCCTTGTAAGAGAGACTCTGTGAGAAAATCGAGAATGCTGTAAAAAGACGATACATCCTTTGAAAAATAATTTGTTTTTTAAATACGATACAAGCATTTCGCCTTTGAAAATCTTCTTCATTGAGAAAGATTTTTAAACAAAAATACCAACAAGTCTTTTTTAAAATTGAAGAATTCTGTACTTTTTTTTCTTTTAATTGTACGACATTATCATACATTTGATTTTCTTAAATCATAAATCATTCAAACAGCACAAAATCTCAATAAAACCTGACATTGTTCCAGTCTTAAATAAATTTTTCGTCGCGGAAAAAATTTAAACAAAATACCATTAGAAAAAAGAAGAAGCTAATTTTTCCCGTAACACAACTATTAAGACAACAAATTCCATCGTCCCATTGTAAATTTTACCACCCTTGTAGAGAAATGCACTAGCGTGTAAATCTAAAAATTTTTTTTGACAAGCTAACGGAGAATCTTAATAAAATTAAAACAAATTAATGTAAACGTGCACATTCAAGGCATAGCTTTCATTCAGCCTCACCTTAGTCTTTATGATGGTCTCTAAGGGAAGCCGTCAAAAATAATAGAATGCGTAGAACGTAGACGTAGACTATATTCTACGGGTAGATTTTTCAACGCGCAGAATATATAGATATAGATGAATATCATCCTCTCGTCTTTTTTTTTCTCTTATTTGCAGAAAGAGAAGGAAAGCGAATAATCTGTTCTGGTCACAAAATGGAAGAAATTCTTGTTTTACATTATCAGTTGCACAATTCAATTTAATCTAAAGCTAAATTATATGTTTTTCTCTAGTGAACGAAATGAAAGCGATGTCTTTTAGTGCAAGTGTTGATTTACTTTTCTGCAGAAGAAAAATATCGGTTATAATGAGTTTAAGTTAACCGGTTGAATAGAAATTAATCAGTGTCCATTTCTAGTTTCTATCTATCTGAAACAATAGAGCAGTATCAAATAAGGAATATCTCTATTTTTTCACATCTTGGAAAATGTTAACACATGTGTATGTAGACATTTCCTAACATATAGACATTTGGTAACATTTGCCAAGATGTGAAAAGATAGAGATATTCCTTATTTGATACGGCTCTAATAATAGGGCCCCTCTGGTTGTTGAGATAGATCACTAATATGATCGCTTAGCTTCATCAAAAAATAGTTTCTTCTTGAGTAGCTACATCACTTTTAAATAAACTTTTTTCCACTATCAACACTTTCCGACGTTCTCTTCTGGTCATGATAATCGTCGGGAAAAAGAAGTGTCACACCGATATTAAGGTGGACATATCCGAAAATATCTTTCGGAATAGGCAAATAAACGTTTCAAGAAAGAGTTAAAGAAGTTTGTGATTTGTGATGTATATGATCAGAATCAACACTTGATATTTTTGTTTGAGAAAACAAAATATGTACACTAATTTGGACAGAATGTACGAAAAAGTTTAATTTATATATGGTTTACAAGCTGTATGTTTGGTTAATTAAATGTGTATGTTAGTAATATAGATGGAAGGCTTATCAAACATACTTTACATTTTGTTTCTTGACATTTTTTTGACCGTTATGACAAAGGCAACGTTTCAAAATATATAGAAATATGTCAGTGAATACCGTTTGAAAAGGAAATTGTTTTTCCTTGCTGACTTTCAGATACTTCTTTTGCTTGTCTGGAAAACTTCCTTTTTTACACAGTAATTAGGTATATTCATACCCAAAGATGAAAAGGAGTCCTTTTCTTAAAAATAGATCAGTATCGTGTACAACTTGTGTACTTTAAACTAGTGCAAAACATGGAAATGGGTCTCACTTCTCTAATTAGCGAAAGTTTAGTTCGCGAAGTTCGTACAATACGAAATAAGTTTACAGTGAGCACTCGCTCCTTGAGTATATAAAAGATGAACATTTGATGAAAATATAAAATCTGAATATAAAATCTGTTGCTACCAAAGTAAGTAAATCGAACGACTAGCTATGTGAAGATCGATTTGGAAAATGTTGGTGTAAATGTGTTACATATACGGTGGTACTACCCACCTCTGAAGGTGTTATTAGACTTGTTCCAGTTGAACGCGGCCTCCTTTCAGAAAATAAATCTTGTATTCCGCACATAAGAAATAATGTTTTAAGAGGAACTCGGTCAACATTCTAATTCATTTCCATAGCATCGGACAATTTTACGGTTCGCAGACCTGAACAACTTCTCAAACAAAGAATTGACATCAGTACGTACAGGTCCTGTGGAATTACTCTCAGAGAACGAAATTCATCAGTGCGAGTGTCGCGGTATTCTATATGATGACAACGAAATAATGTGTGATGAATGACATCGCAAACAGCGTATGCGATCTATAAAACTCTGAAATACAAGGTGATATTAATGTGCAGAATGTCAACAGTACTATCCATTCTGAAAAGACATGTAGATAACAGACAATGAAATTTGTATTATATTATCACTAGCTTACGGATAGCTAACAAGAACAGGGAAATACGTCTGTCCAGACACAACCTTCCACACTTTCATCGTTAGTTTGCCGACTTCAAAGTCAATGACGAACATAGAGAAGAAAAAGTCATTTTCATCACGAAAGATTCTGTGGTATTGTATGCCACATCCATATTTTTTGGCTGGTTTGAACGCAGGATTAAAGCGTATTTGCTCCCACTCACCCGATCGAGCGCTTAATCTAGGTGATCTCAGTAATCCTAGTACCCAGTTCTGTTCTCCCAAAGTGGTGTCACAGTTCAGTGTGATATCAGGGGCTTCAATCAAGTGATAAAAATAGTCTCCTGACTTGGCCATACTACCTTCGCCGCCACCGACGCATAGACTCTGAGGACTCCATGTGATGTTCCATCCATTACAATCCAAAGATGAGAATATAGCATCATCTGGAAGATCATATCCAGCTACATCATAGTTAACAAAGTCTCTGGTGCGAGCGATACCGCGAGCAGCCTTGTTGTTTGGTCCATCCCAACCGTGAAAAGTAACATAGAACCAACCATTGATTTTTTCTACGATTTCAGGCGTGCCCTCATCATACATGGTCGATGTGCAGTGCTTTTCACGACCCGAGCAGATTTTGCTCCACAGCTGTCCACCTTGAACCACAGGGTTTGCAGGATTCGGTAAAAAAGGACTTGACATAGGATCACGTCCAGATCTTGAATAGTGACATAGATCCCAACGTTTGTTCGTACCGATACACTGAGCTAGGTAATGCCACGAATCAGTTTCATTATCGAAGAAGGGAGCTCCATCGAGCACTGCACAATTATCGGCACTTAAGTTTCCAGGTGACGCAATAACAGCTGGTTCCGACCACGACTTTCCGAAATCTGTCGAATTTCTAACAGCAATACGTGTCAACGGTACGATACCATTGCAAAATTCTGGAGTAGGCGCATAAAAACCTTCTCTGTAGAAGATATACCATTTTCCATCCAATGGCTTGACGTACGTGCCCACGTTCCACATTGACGAAGAACTCGGATCAGCGTGAGGAGTGGGAAAAGTTGAAGAGCTAACTAGTTCTAACCCCCCTTGTCCTGCAAAGATAGCTGCCAGTGCGCCACCATCTAACTCGTCCACAACGGTCTTATAATGAACGATCTTGCTGCAGCAACGATAATACACGCGAAATTCGAGACTATGTCCTGGGGTACTCGAAAAGTACAGCGAAAATACTTGTGGTTGTACACTAGCATAACCAAAGTCAAGTCTTGAGATATTTCGGCTAGTTAATACACGATCAGTGCCTGGATCATTCACATCAACGGTCAATAGGTCCGACGGATCACCAACGTTATTATCCACCCCTAGATAAAAGTCTACACGTGAGGGAACGGTAGTATTCCATTGCTCCGTGAACGGTCCGTACGTGAGGTACCTTTCTGGAGGATCCTGAACGGAGACCAGCCATGCAGTATTGTCGTAACGAGAACCTGTTTGATGGTAAGGTTGTGTACCGGGATAAAACTCGAGATGAAGAGCGGTTGCGTAACAAAGTAGTGATAGGGTGAGCAAAGTGATCGCATGTATTGCCATGGTTGATCGTAAAACAACGAGGTTGGCCTAGAAATCTTCCAGCTGCTTTCGTTGACGTCGTCTCTATCAAATAAGTAAAAAAAGATTTATATCTCTTTTACTCACTCTGGGCGCATACGCGGTGACGATAAGACGTGTTCTCCTTCTCGCTTGCGTATCCCTATGTCAAGACCAAAGGCCCGCTTGTCACCGACACTCACTCAAAAGTGAAATTCAAATAACAGATTTTGTAGCTCTTGATGAGCTCTGCAAAACTATGTATTTATATTAGCCGAACGAGTGCCTGGAACAAGCCTGAGAGGTCCAAATTTGACTATATGGTCCAGCTTCGAAATATAGGACATGTTCAATGAAACTACCCATAAGACTTTCTAAAAAACTCCGACATAATCTAATCGACTCAGTTTTTGACGCCGAACACAAATCTGGTATCAAAGTTTGACTTTGAGCTTCCTGGAGAGACATCAAATTCGAAATGAACCAGAATGGAGTATGGAGAGATAAAAAAGATGTACAATTTTACCTTTCTCTGTCCCTCACTATTTCGGCCCTAGAACGTTTTGAGCCAAAATTCTACATACACTTCGACGCAGAATTGAATAGGCTACATTTTCAGTCTATCGATTTTTGGAAGTCTTTGATTAACGTAGACATTTGGCCGAAGTTTTGATAAATCAGGGGTAGTACACAGGGTAAAAAACAGTATTCTGACTTTCCTAATGCACATTGAGATCTAAGAGAAGAAAATATACACTTTTGTAGAGCAAAGAGAGCTCTTTTGATTGCTTGGCCCGTTTCCAACACTCACGCAATAACAAAGAAAAAATCGAAACATAATGATCGCTCAATTTAGTCACTTTAGGAATGTCAAATGGGATGGGAGATACTCAGTAAATCAGTCTTAGACAGTCAGCAACAAGCTTTCAGATCGTAGCTTTCAGAACAATATTCTGGATTATAGTATGGTACGATGTGTACTACCTTCCTATATAGTAGAATCCAAAATCTAAAATTCCTCATGTGTCCACTTCGATATTTTGGTGGAACGTCTCTTTAATGCACGTGCTTATTTTTGAAGCGACTTTTGAAGATTTTACTTACATTACTGAATATACTATATTAAATCATTCTGGGTAGACTATTGTATTTTGCCTTTGGAAGGATTCTATTTTCCTTTTATTATTTAGTTCGCTTTTTCTTACAAAATGTGAGGAGCATGTTTTAAAGAGCAAGAAACAGAAGAAAACGGGTGGCGTAATACAGCAAACAATACCTCAATCTTTATCAAAAACTATATAGCTGCATCGACCAACAGTTTTATTTCAGTTTGAGAACGGTAATTCTATGATTAGAACATCTTCTTTCTAATGATATAGATCTTCTGTACCACAAATATTCTATTCCTAGCACAGAGAATGAGTCAACGAATCAGCAAATATATGTAAAGAAAAACGAAGAGATACATTCTTAATAGGACATTTAATATTTTGCTATCGTAGCAACATGAATTATTTCATGTTTCATATTCATAGATGAAGCTAGACAAGTAATCAAAAGTTTTTTATCTTTAAGTAATGAATGAAACAATAGTTCTTGCCAGCCTTTTTCTCTTTCACGTATTGTGAAAATGATTAAGAATGTATCGTAAACTTACTTCTATTAACTTTGTAATAAAAATAACTGTTTTGAAACACAAACTTTATTTTGAAAAAAAAGAACGGAAAACTGCTGATATCTAATCTTTTCGTTTTGCGACTAATGTCAACAGCACAACCATCACTAGTAGGTAGATTGTTTACTCTCTTCGTTTTCCTTTACATGGCACTTTTCTTTATACATCGATTTTCTTTTTCGATGTTCTATTCCTGGTATAAATTGCACCCCGATCCGACATCGGCTTCCCCGATTTTTAAGAGGGTCAAAAAAGAGGTGGGGGTACCCTTAAATATATTCGCTAAGCAGACAAAACATCAGAGGCAGAAGTGGTATTTTCTAGTCAATACTGTGGGTAAGCCAAAACTGAAACTTTGCCTTGTGAGACTGAAAGTAAAGTTAACTAATGCTTGGATTTATTTGCCATATAAGGGTCGATCTATGAAAAAATCTGGTCTACCAAAAAGACTTACCATAATGTATCCTTGAAAGAAGAAACTCTCTTCGGTGAGAGTTAAACGTTTTTTAAAAACGTAGCACATTCAATTCTGAATAAAACAATTAATTTGAAATATTTTTGGAGACAAATGTAACTTTGAAAAAATAATTTTCTTTAAATTGATATGTAAAAGACCATGGATTTCTGTAAATCCTACTTCCGGCACTTTTAAAACTATTTTAAGTTAGCCGCCGAAAAAAGCATCGCTCAAAACTGTTAAGTGCTTTTTGAAATCTCCTGGAAAACCCCAAATAGTAAATTCTTAGTTTATAGACGACTGTGACTATATCGGTTTATTCAGCATACGAATTAAGTTCATATTCTGAAAGTTCGAGTGGATCTGATTGATTAATAACGATTTTACAACATTTTAGTTTTAGCAGGATCCAGCCGTTAAAACGTGACTTTCTAAATGCTTCATTATCCAAAGCTACTTTGAAGTTGGGAAGAATATAAATAATGTCACGATGATCAGTGCGTTTGATAGCGTATGTGGCATGTCGTCTTGAGATTATCAGACCTTAGGGTTGACCAGCAGATAAGTGTCCGGAGAATGCCTATATCAGCCGGATTGTAAATAGATCAAAACCTCAGGACTTGTATCGGTGTGTACAGATGGGTTCCTTCTGTATAACTGCAGAAGATTTTTAGTACAGCTCACTGCGTTACTTCGTCGAATAACAAACTGAGACTTTTTCAGTCCAAAGGCTCGTCAGCGTAAGGCTTATCGAGAAATTGAATGTTTCCTAGAATTATAGGCCCAACTGTCTAGTGTCAAAAATGACCAGCCGCGCTCTTCTAGTTTGCTACTTCACATGCTCTTTCATCTGATACCATGCTCAAGATTCTACGTTAAGGAATACGATCCTAAGCGGTTTGAGAAGTTAGAAGACATTGAGAGAAAATATACGAAAAATGTATTTTGCCGGTTTGAGAGTATAACGACTATAATGTTATAACACGCTCAGGTTTTTAGATTCGTATGGTACACAGCGGTAGATCTTTTCTGGAAGCTTCACTATTTCATAGATCTATATGCTGCGGTGTCTATTTTTTTAAGAAACTGAAAACGACGGTATCCAGCTCTTGTCATTCTAAAGCTACTAAAAAACATCACAGTTTGCTATATTTTGAAACATAGTCAAAAACTAGTATTCTTACTTTTCTCACATATTACCGGACAGTTTACAACTACAGGGCTAGACTAAAAGACGAATTTTACTAGCTGCACCGTATGATTTTAATTTTGAATTTGGCTGAGTCTAATCTATGCGTTCTAGTTTGTGGACAGAGATGCAGTCTTATCGCAACTTGTCCTTTTACACGCACAACTTTTTGCATGATCAATAGTTAGCCTGTTTTTAGTATAAATTAGCATTTACTCACAAATGTTTTTAGTTGCATGTGATTTAATGATGCAACGTCTAATGATTAAACCGTATTATGATCGTGAGACTCCGTCCGGCCGATATGGTGTACGTAATGTTATTGATTCAGTTTATCATAAATCCGGTGATGGGGGTCTACGCGGTTTTTATAAAGGTTACTTAATTACATTAGCAATTAATGTACCCTTTTCATCGGTTATATGGACATTGTATTGGCGTATACAGCATCATTTAGAAATAGTATTAACACGAAAATATGATTATATAACGTCGCCTCTATCCGGTAAGAAAGTTTCCAATCAATTAGGAATGCGAAATCAATCAATATGATACATATTACGATATGCAAACGGCTTGATGCAAACGACGGGAGTCACTTCCTTTTGTAGAGTTTGGTGAGCTGAATCAAATGGTAAAATAAGTAGGTCCTATCTGTTGCACGATAACACATTATAGTCGTTATACTCTCAAACCGGCAAAATACATTTTTTGTATATTTTCTCTCAATGTCTTCTAACTTGTCAAACCGCTTAGGATCGCATTCCTTAACGTAGAATCTTGAGCATGGTATCAGATGAAAGAGCATGTGAAGCTCTGTATGTCTGGACTGAGAAAACACAATGGAATCATCCTTTGTCTTCTCGCAGAGGTTTTCGAAGATCTCGATTATCTAGGAATCTGTCAAGTTTAAACCGTATTCAAAATACTTCTGACTACAAGATCAAACAGTTTTTCGAGCCTGCACGTGTTTCTACAGATTGAGATAAATGAGCTACAGGCTCAGTAACGTAAGCTATAGCAAAAGGCCAAAGTTTCCACTTTGATGCCGAATGGTTTGGTACGGTTCGTATTTTCTATCCCACTTATTTAGTATAAACCCTATAGAAGATAGTGGTTGCCGTATCTTGTAGAAAATTCAACGGAATATCCAGTACTATGTCTAAAAAACATTTTTTAATGTGCTTGAAGATAAATCCTTTTCTATGAGATGTTTAGCAGTCACCTTTTCAAAGGCTTAGCGTTCGGGTATGATTTACCTTTATTAAAACGATACGAAGTTTGATGTGCTCTTTTATTTGACACTAAGCTCGGAATTCTAAGTTTGACAATGACTTCAGCAGTATGAAACGTACTATCATTGCATCAGTAATCGACATAAGCGACGAGAATTACCTCATTTTATAGATTTCGACATGTTGAATCGAATGGTGAAAACCACAGGTCTTTAGCTTTGTAGGAAGAAAAGTTATAGTCATTTTACTCTCTCAGCGGAAAAGTGCATTGGTTGTTCGCCTGACTTGTCAAACGTCTCCTAACTATATTCTCTAACGTAGACCATTGAGATTGGTCTTAAGTGAAAGAGCGCATCGAACTCTATATCTGGATCTTGAGTTAAAGGTGTTAAAGCCTTGGCCTCTACAAAACTTAACGAACCTAGAATACAAACTAAAAAGTTTTTCAACCACTTTCGATGACAGAGTAAAATGGCTACAACTTTTTTTCCTACAAAGGTAAAGACCTGTGGTTTTCACCATTCGATATTCAACATGCCGAGATCTACAAAATGAGGTAAGTCTCATCGCTTGTGCCAACAGTTTTGCATATCGTGATAAGTTTCATATGGATTGACTCCAACGCGATCAAGAGAAGCTTTACAACTCCAGTGGAATCGTTAGAAAACGCGAAAAATCAGATTTTCTTGGCTACTCGAACAATAAGTTGCCTATAACTGTTTTCGTCAACTCCTACAGATTAGTGGTATTCAATTCTAAAACTTAGCTAGTTGATCCGAACAATATGAGGTAAGTTCTGCTTATTTGTGCCAACACTTTTGTAAGATATCCTGGTAGGTATCATAAACAAGCAAAACTTGTTCAAAAGTATCGTTTTCATCCTATACATTGAGACAGATAAATTTCACTCGCCGTGATTCTCACCCTATTTTTTCTCTGGTTTTCTTCTAGCCGTCTTGGCTTCTGGTATCGCATCA